TGCTTCGACACAAAGCTGAGCGGCGGGGACGGCTGCCTCGGCGCACCCTGCTCTTCCCCCCGGCCCTGTGTCACCCCAAACCCCACAGAGGCTTTTCCCAGCCTGGTGACAGCCATCCTCTGCCACCCAGCACCAGCATATGGCAGAAGAGCTGCCCCGCTTCCTAGAAAAGGCCAACCAGCTCTGCGGGCAGTACACCGAGTTGAATTTCCTTGACTTCAAGAAGAGGTAAGCCTTTGCCCCCCTCTAAAACTGGATCAGCGGATTCAGTCAAAATTTGGCCAAAATGTTGAGGGTGCACAAATGGAGCCAGTGGTTTTTAGCCTAAATATCATCAAAATGTGGGGAAGCACGTAACACATCCCTTGCAGGGCACCCAGCCCTGCTCCTGCTGCCATCCACACCTTCCTCCACCGCCCTGCCGGCCCAAAAATGCCATGTAGGTGTTTAATGCCCCCGGGTCCTCCCTAATACCCACTGGTCCCCACGCCACAGGCTGCGGGAGAGCTTGATGAAGATGATGCCAGAGGCCAGCCCTGATCTGCTGGGGCAGCTGGGCTGGGAGAGGCGTGCGATGGGGGCTCCTGCCTGCTGGGCTAGGTGCCCTGAGGTGAGCGGCCGGGGCAGGGCTCCGGCATGCCGGCATCGGGGACCACTTCTCCGGCCGTGCACGGATGGAGGGGGGAGTTATGGGGCTGGGGAAAGGGGCAACGGCCACATGCCCAGGGCTGAGCTCTGCAGGGCACGCAGGGAAGAGGGACGTCGAAAGGGAGCACGAGGGAACAGGGCTGGAGGACGCCTGGCAGACGGCTGCTTTTCCTTGCACCGGGAGAGGAAGGTGCCACCGAGCCTGCAGCTCCCTGCTGCCTGCCAGCAACACCACCGACGGATTCAGGCAGCTGCAATAAAGACTTAAAAAAAGCACCCTCGCTGCTGCTGGAAAGGCTTTCCGCACCCCGGGGCGGTGGGGAGGGCTGGGAAGGGGCACAGTCCCAGCTCTGAGGGCAGGAGGCGGAGAAGGACAAGGTCCCAGTTCTAGTCCTGGGAACTAACGGTCTAAAAAGTTAAGCAAGAACACCTAAACCACTTGTCACGAGGCCCCCAAGACGGCTCTCTGTGGGTATTTGGATATTCAGTTAGCTGGAGGCACTGGCCCATCACCAGAGGTGGGGGTCTCTGGGCACCCCCGCCGCTCCGACTTCCCTTCTCGGTACCCCAAACCCTGCGCTCCTGCCCGTATGACACCCCCACAGCCTCCCCGCCTGCCTGCTGAGGCCCTTCAAGCACCGGCCAAGTTTTGGGGGTGCTGCAGGTGAAGTGGCCCTGGGGTGGAAGGCAGCAGGATGGCAAACCCAGCTGGGAAAGCAATGGGAAAATCCTCCAAGCCCAAATTCGGCATTTTTTTTGTAGGAGAGTAAGATCTAAATATACCAAGGAAAGTAGATAACAATACCTCAGCGTGCAGAGCTGTGCTGTGCAAAGATAGACCAGAAATTAAAACAGCCCGCACTGTGGCAATAAAAGATGGCTGAGCTGAACTGACGGTCAAAGGAAAGCAATAAATGAAATAAAAGGATGGAAAAGGAGCAATGGCCTTACCAGTGGGGCAGAGGGACTCCATCTAAACAGGGGAAACTCTGCAAGGGACAGCGGATTAATGGGCAGAATTTGGGGAAATCAATTTCAAGTTAATTAAGGTTCCTTGGACAGCATTAGCTGTCCAGTGTTGCCACGCCCACTAGACCTGACCTTAAGTGAAAACAAGAAAAAAACCCTGTTCGAGTTGGTCCTTCTCTGTCCTGGGGAGCACTGGCAGCTCCCAGGTCTCTGCTCAGCTGCCCCACAATGGGAGAGACGAGAGGGATTTCGCTGGGACGGTGCGGGTTGGAGGGGGGATTGCGCCCTGGGCTGCGGGCAGGTCGGTCCCTGCCGGAGTCCCTCCAGCAGCCGCAACGCTGACAGCCTCATCTCCAGAAAGGTGGAGGGATCAGCAAAGACCGTCCTCCTCCCTCCCCGCCCGGGAGCCTGCGACAGGCGCTGTCAGTGCTCCAGAGCTCCTCAAACCATCCCCTAGCAAATACATCATCTGGGCCCCCCTTGGACTGCGGTTCTCTTTGCCAGCAAGGTTACCTACAGACTGTGCAACCCCTGCACTCTGGGGTCACAAAGACCACCAAACGCTGCTAGAAATGGAATGGGGCCACGCTCAGATACTGCTGCATTTTGACCAGGGCGGGGTTGGCAGGTTGTGCTAAGGACGGGCAGCGCTGCTGCACTTGCTGCCTGCACCTGCTGCCTGCAGCTGCCCATGGGCAGCAGTGCCTGCGGCAAGGACGGGCAGCAAACGCTGAGCCCAGCCCTGCCCAGCTCCTGGACCCTGGGGAGCCGCAGCCGC